TACATCCTACTGTACCCATGATTTGTTCAGGCTCTGAACACGCATTTCCACATTTCATCAGTGTTTAAATTACATGTCGGAAGTTTCCTGGCAGGAGTTTGATGATCAGTTGCTGAACTCAAAGGCTGGTATGACTAGGATTAACATTGAAAGACTACTGTACCAATAATGTTACAAGATGTATTAAGATAAACAAGCTCTGCTGCCACTTCCACTTATACACTGTAAGGCAATAAAAACAAACTGCCCAAAATAATTTGTTATTATTGCTGATCATCTTATACAGCTTGGTATTTCACCTTCAAAAAATGTAGTTAAAATGAAATGAATATAGATAGATAGTTTATAGAATACAGTGCTTGATAGGTGCTTAAAAATATTTTTCATTATGTTTTGGTATAAACAATTAAAATTTTTTATATCAAAGCATTTATTTCCAAACTATATATCTAGTCCTTTATTTCAATCCAATTGATCTCAGTCCAATGTGCTACTGTATCATAAAATATCATGAAGTCATAAAATATCATGAATAAGAAAACTCATCCTAAACAAATAAGCAACCTGAGAAAAATCATGTCCAAAATAATTGTTTAAAATTACAAGTTTCTTGTCACCTTACTATATTTACTGTCACAAGGCAATACTTCTAGAAAATACAGCAGAAATCTAATCATCTCTTAAGCCAGACACTGGCTATGCTGACGGCCATCGGCTGACACGATTTCATAGAGAACGCACACGACGAGGCATGTGCAAGGGATCACATTTAATGACAATCCGCTCAGTCTGCAATGGACAAACAGCAGAAGGCGTCACAACATTAAGTGCGCTCACAAAGAAGGAAGATGGAACTGCTGGCCAAACGGTGGCATAACCATCCTACAATGCAATGTGCCTGGTTTCTGAGCACCTGCAAGTACCATGTGAAACTGTGTATTGTAAGCATTTTTGGGAAGTACAATATTGGCTGAGCATTGTTTTTTTCAAAAATTGTGAAAAGAAATTGTTTTTGACCTAAAAAATAGCACCATAAAACCAATGATAACTATTCATAGCATCTAAGTATCCTTCAATTCTGACGCTTGAATAGTCTAAAGATTCCCTTGACACGATTGGATTCAACACAAAAATAATGAGATTCAGCAACACTTCAATAGCCATGTAAACTTCCATGGAATAACAATAATTAGCCACAGATGACCAAAAGTAACACCTCAGCTCGGTGGAGCTGATTTTGTCAAGTGTTGCTGATTCAGCACAGATACAACACACATACATCAAAGGAAAGCGGGAATGACAAGATGTTATTTATTGCTATTAATTGTCCATGACATGTAGTTATAGGAGCATTTTGTGGCTAAAGATCTGAGGCACACGAACATCCTTTGTCCGACTTCCTTCACAGGTGAAATTCCATCTACCAGTGTTGAACACCATTCATATGAAAACTATAAAGTATCATGTTAGCCTTTGTGGCAATATGAATATTTTGCCAAGTACCGTAGTTGTTCTTATAGGACCATACATACCAGGTGTCAATTATTGAATAGAATTCAGCTGGAGGCCCTGATATTGATGGAGAGGAGAAAGAGTATGAACACACTGGGCGCGAGGCCTTTCAAGGAGTTTTATTTTGCTACCGGTCCAATGGGGAATTTCAAATTTCACAAAGTATTATGGTAGTTTTTGAGTCTGGAAAATTTGTTTGATGTGAGACAAGTTGGTATCAACCATTAACATCTGATTGTCAAAAGTAGGATAATTATTAAATATTATCAAATATTAATAATACTTTCCAATCTTAATAAGCAATTAGTAGAGCTCCCCATAGTACACTATTGGAAAATTATTATACAAAGGTTAGTTTGAATGCTTGAAAAAATTTCCTGAGTGCCTGCAAGGCCCAAAGAAAATTTTTGAATGCATTTAATCTAACCTAAGTATAATAATTTTCCGCTAGTGTACGATGCATGCTCTACTAATTGCTTTATAAGTCAATCGCTATCTTTTAATGTTAGTTTTTATAACCAACTGTGTTGTACCAGTCATCGGTTGCTATAGTGATTGTGATCAGTGTACTGTGTGCGTATTTATATTTTGTGCGTATGCTGATTTGTGCTCCTGCAGTAGGCAACGCCTACGCGTTAACTACACACCAGCAGTACTGTACAGATACGATGAATAACTAGGCCTAGGCTATTTTGTAATTTGTATTGTTAGAAGAACTTGTTTGTAATTTTTCACATTCGTCAAAGAAATAAACATTTTTCAAAGCATTCGAGAGAGAATACAGTCACTGCCACTAACTTTTTGGTCGGTGCAGACAGGTAAAAATGTTGGGATGATTTCATAACTACGCTAGGCTATACGGCCTAGGCTAGTAGTAGGAGGAGGCCTCGGCGGCTTTACATAATTTCGTTCCTTGGGTCTTTAAAATAGGTCTAGAATATTCCTATTAAACGTTCAGTTTGTTTAGATTATTAGGGTTTATTGATTTCAGGAATTGCTTAATTGTTCATACTTAATATTGAATTTAAAGTAACTTTCTTTGGGTGGTAATTAACCTTGTTTTACAAAAGTAATTTTCAATTACAATTCAATTTTTATCGCGGTGCATGCACGATGTTTTTGCGGTAACGAAAAAATGAGGAATTTTTTTTTGCACACGAACCTAAAAAAATCAAGCCAAGCGTCCACTAATTGAAAAATTAGTGGACAGTGGGGAATAGGCAAATAACATTGGGAGTTGCAATGATGACGTCACTATCGACTTATATTCTATTTTATCTAATGTTAAATGTTCAGCAATCTTAAACTGTATGAATAACTACAAAATTATTTAGTCAGAATAATAATAACATGGTTGTTACTATGGAGATGATTAGAATCAATCTAAACCAGTCATTTAATCAGGGTTTCAACAAGAGTTCAATCATACAAATCATAAAGCTGCTGTTTATATCCACAGGCTGATATTAATTTATCCAAAAAACAAAGGGAGAAAAAGGGAATTGTTTTAATACACTACAACAATACGATAAAGAGATTCTCGGGTTGTCTTTTACATTGTTTATTATCTACATCTCTTAGCAACGAGAAAATTATTCAGATAGGAAATAGTAATAGGTCAGGTTTTAAAGAAATGATCTTAATAAAGCAAATATGCCGCTTCATTAAAGAATATTATATTAATGCATTTTGGCTGCTTTACTAGTTAAGACAGAATTGCCCTATACTGTACACATCGATTGTATATTGTTTGCGGTGCTGCTGTCGTATGTATCATGCATGTGCCTAGCATTAGCCATGCCAACTGAAGCCATTACATACCTAATAAATTGTTACAAATAGCTACTATATTTCCCCACTAATACTCTGTTTCAATAATAATGTTTGCCATTTGTATTCACAACATGAACATTAGCGACTGGTTTTCTTTTTTGGTTCCATTCTACTCAGTCTTGACTTGAAACATCAGGAGATTCCATTTATTTAAATCATAGAATTATGTAGTACAAGGCTCGTCCTTTGGGCTTATGCAAAGTTATCGTAGGGATTAACAGATATATCGTATAATATATCCTTAAGATTTGTGGAGATCATTGATAAAGATTACTTATAGTACAAATATAAAATGTTTTTGATCCCTGCATTCATTTTGGGCCACAGCAACCTCCTTCTCTTTTATTTTATAATAAAAAACTTTGAAACTTAGATTCAGGGAAAGAAGGATCCTCCTAAACAATGCCCAAGAAGATATCATTAGAGAATAAAAATGGTGATGATGATGATGATAATATTGATGATGATGACATTGATGATATTGATGATGATGGTAGATAGTGGTGGTGATGATGATGATTATGATAACAGCCTTAGGTATTGAGGTAAACAGCCAAATTTGAAGACTCAACACTCTGCTAGAAGATTTGGATGGTAGAGTGAAGTACTCATGAGGATTATAGGTTAGAACCTCAGGCATGAATACTGAATTATTAGGTTATATATTTGATCCCAATACATTTAGGAATTCAAACACAGTGTACAGTACATGCCAGATTATCAATTTACAGTAACAATACTACTGTAACTGTAGAAATCAAATATCCTACAATTTACCATTAAAAATAAATTACAAGTGGTTTAGACTTGAATTCAAGTACCTACAGTAAAAATACAAAAAATATAGTTACTGGAGGGGATGACATTCCAGTGTATTAAACGCAAAGGATTAAACTCCTTCAACAACGTTGAAAGCAACAATTAAACTGGAGAGAAGTAGTAACAGAATACGAGTCAACAATGACAGTATTGAAGTGACCATGGTCGAAACATTGCAACAATCTTGACGCCTCCATCACTTGACCTATGACCTGTTTCATGCTGAGCAAGAATGCATGACAAGTTTACTAAGTAGAATTTCTTCAAATATGTTTCTAAGAACCTGACAGTCAACTGGAATTTCTGTCCTTATTTACCACATACATACATAAAATATGTCATTTAAGAAATCTTTTCTGGGATGATCAATAGAGTAATTGATTATTGTTTTTAAATAAATTAATTTATATCCGATTTACATTTTTTATTATAGATGTATATTTATTATTTAATTGGTATCACAATTAAAACAGTCCATTTGCAGTGAAAGTGCTATCCAGAGTAAAGTTTAAATTAAACAAATAAATATAGCAAGGAGGCTATGTGTCTTAATTATAAACAAAACAAGCAACAAACAACAAAATTAATGACTTTTTCTTTTCCATTGATATTGGTAGGTAAATCCAGAAGGACCATACTGGAAATAAGTCTTCTTTAGACTTTCATGGTTAGCCTTGGTGAAATGTGATGTGAAAACCATGATTTTTCAACCCCATTTTAACAGTGAAGAAGTCCATGATCTGGTAGAATTTGTCCACTGTGGCTTTTGTCCGATTACTGATGTCAAACATTCCTTGTTTGTGTGAAAAAAAAAAATAAATAAAATTTTCCATTACCTTATCAGATACATGTTGCGTATTTTCCTGGTAATTCATTATTCCTTCTGAAATCTTGACGTTAATTGAATCAATAATGGTCTCAATATTGAATGAGGCGCTCATTCTCTCACCAAGCCTTTTCATGGCATCTATGGTAACAAAATAAAGATTAAAACAATTATTATAATTATAATAATATTCGAATCACATTGTATTCCAGTAATTAATAGCTATTATATTACTTAAAAAAGAGAAATTCAAATATAATTAATTTCCTTTTCTGTCCAATTCAAAACATTTGAAATTGGAAATTTTGGCTGGGCCTCTGGAGAGCCGCAGCAGCCACAGTAGAGTGGTAGTAAGACCCCCTAACAGATACATTGTCCATTATCCCACCTAACTCTCATGAGAAGGTTAGTCGAGGAGCAGAGCATTCCGACTCCAATTAAAACGCTGGCCGGATTTGAAATAGGGGTGTACATCGCAATAAGCAGGAACAATAACTCTTGGCCAAACACTCAGTAACTCAACACACCATACTATACAGTACTATGTAATTCTCAAGTGAAGGAGGCAATCTAACAGGCCTCTTCAAAGTCAGTGTTGTTTATGGCTTCACGCATGCGCATGCGATAAATTTAACTTCTCTTTCAAACATCGTTTTCAGCTTTAAAAGTCAACATAGTGCTTGATTGTTTTATTGAATGATCAATATATATAATGAACAAGTATCTATGGAAGTTGTGTTGGAGTAAAATTCATAATCTAGGTATTTACCTGTACCTAAAAGAAACCATGTACAGTAGAACGGGCCCAGAGCCGTTCGTAAATTCGGGTATTCGTAAAATCGGGGTTGAACCAAATTCCTCTATATTTGCACTGATACTACTTACACTGGCATAAACTAGGCCTAGGCTAGGCCTACAGGCTTACGCAGCTAAGTCTGAGGGGGCCTAGGCCTACAGTTGGCAGCTTCTAAGCATTCTGATCCCACTCTCGGCCCTACACAAATTTGTTTTATCGGACATTTTTACCTTCTTAAATACCTAGATTGTGGATTTTACTCCAACACAACTTCCATAGATACTTGTTTATTATATATATTGATCATTCAATAAAACAATCAAGCACTATGTTGAATTTTAAAGCTGAAAACGATGTTTGAAAGAGAAGTAAAATTTGTCGCATGCACATGTGTGAAGCCATAAAAAACACTGACTTTGAAGAGGCCCTCCTTCACTTGAGAATTACATAGTACTGTATAGTATGGTGTGTTGTGTTGTATGCATGGTAATAACAGGTACAATTCGAGCGGGGTTTTTTTAAAAAAATCTTTCGCTTCAATTTTTATGACGTCATCATCTTTATATTACGTTCGTAAAATCGGGAATTCGTAAAATCGGGGTTCATAAATGAGGGGTTCTACTGTAATTTATAAGTACAGTTGCTCTTTGTTGCAACATGCAAACTGTGTTAATGCACATGTGTGTCATGTTACCAGTTTATCTATAGGAAATCTCGCATTAATCACCGATAAACAAAGAGACATTACTACATATAAACAATTCGTCCATTCATGCACATTTGCAGTCCATTAATCTATCAATCAAGATCTGTCCATCATTGGTCACTTAGTGATAGATGATGTAACATTTGAGTACAGTAGGCTACAAACAAGATGAGTTAGATTGCAATGAAATATGACGATGTTGATCGATTAAACGCCACACTAGAATATCAAAATCCTGATTTTAAAAAAAATCTTCACAAATTATTGCCTAACTGCATATAATTGTTTTTTATTTAATGCACTTTGTAGATATATGATCAACCAATAACCTCCAGCACAATTTTCTAACTTATTAAATTTATCTAACATTAATTCCAAATACATTAAATTTATTAAATATTAAACCCATTTCACATTGAATCCATTAAACATAAGACCATGCTCCATCCAGGGGGAAAATATAGCAATTAGCTTTTCTACTGACACTTTTCATTGCAATGCTCATGAAATGCTGAAAAATTAGTGGTTTTAGACAGGAAGCTTGCATGAAATTAAACCATACTCTGCTTTGCCTTCATAACATGAGTAAAATTATAACATACACATCTCCCTGTAATTACAGACCACTTTTTTTGTGGTCCCAATTAACAAATACCAAAGCTGCTGAAGGCCATGGAAACCCTGGTCCCAAAAGTGGTCTTTGATTGGAGGGAGACCTGTAATTAGATTGTATCTTGTCTCTAGCATTAGTTTAAACAATAAGGCAAAATAATACAAAAATTATCAGATAGTACTATAATAGTAGGCTGGAAAAGTGATGAGGGAGGGAGGGAGGAATGCTTTATTATTTTATTTTTATTGTGTTTTGGATATTAATGATGATAGTGAATATGTTTTTCCATGGAGGTATTATAGTGAACTTTTCAGAGCTTTCTTGAAGATTTAGTTACATTCAAAACTGGTAGGAAGGTAGAAGCAATGCAAATGAGCCTGGTATCTGGGTCACCAGCATCTAAGTATCACTAATTACCAACTATGCTAACCCGTTAACGAATCAACAGCTCGTTTAAAGTCATCTCGGCACATATATCAAGGAGATAGTGTCCTAATGTCTGACCTACTTTAGCTAAATGTCATTTTCAATGAGCATGCTAAAAGTAATCCAAAAGGCTTGATTGAAATACTCTGAATATGAATGCACATTAAGATATGAATTAATGAATATTTTAATTAGGTCTACAATATAAGCTCTACTTTAATATGTACAGTATAACAACAATAAAATAGCATTCATGCTTATCAATATCAAAAGCGGTAACATAAAAATATAGATATATGTAAATTAGATGAAGGAAATACAAATATAACAGAAAATAATTATAAAAATAAGTAGATGAAAACACTGATCATGATGATGTTGTGTTTAATGATAATATTTTTAAATATATAACACCTTACAAAAGAAAGATTCTAAGGAGATTGTAACCTTAACACTCCAGGTCACCATTCCCAAAAAATGGCAAATGATGATGATAATGATTGATGGTAATGATGATGTAAGAAATCATGTAACTGATCAATCAAGGTGATAAATTTGATAACTAAGATGATTGATGCAGTATAAATGGTATAACAAAGTGCCAGGAAGAATATTGATGAATAACAGGCATGAAAATAATGAATATGTTTACAAAACTCCATGCAATGCCAAAACAAATACAGGTCTCTTTCCAAGTAAAGAACACCTTGCTTCCTTTGGTCCCAAATTAAAAAATGCATCTTTATTATTCTAATTAGAGACCAAAGCTGCTAGACCATGGAAACCACAGTCCCAAAAGTGGTCCTTAATTGGAGGGAGACTTCTACATCTCTAACATGTTGTATGTGGAAAATCTTTAAAAAAAAACCTCAATAAAACACTGACTTTTTACTATTTGATAAAATTAATTTCCAATTTTAACCACATAAACGTGATTTCATTTCAGTTTACATACCAATATATTTAGTCCATTCATCCGCTAATTCAGCTTGTTGCGCAAGACATGCTTTCATAATATTTGTGCAGAGTCCGTCACACGGTGCGGCATTAGCTGACCCTTCTTTACACGACTGACAGTATTCCATTTTAACGAGGGCAGCCTTGCATTCAGTTACCGGTGATTCCTAAGAGGAAGAAGATGAAGGTTTAAGTTTAATTAATGTTCTGGTAAGATAGTGACTAGGAATATAATCAAATTACCATCTGAATTCAGAATACAGATAACCATTATTTTTGTTTCCCACATTACCAAGTTTACCAGTACCTGTCTACAGGTGACCACATTTTAACCTGTTTAACCACAATGTTTGTTGGTTTACAGTAGCATTATCTTTACTGGTTTACATGTGATGTCTCCATTTACCACAATATTTGTTGGTATACAGGTAACACTACCTTTACTGGTGTAAATATGACCACACTGTTTACCTGTTTTACCACAGTATTTGCTGGACTTTATTATTATCTACTACAGTAGGTCTGAAAAAATGAAGTAATCTTTAGTTCCTGTATAATTATTTAGTTTGTTATCATCATTGTCCTGATCATCAATGCCCTTTAAAATTCTTTCTTTTATCTATATTAAGTTAAAATGAATAAAGAATAGGAGCTCATTTACATCTCAGAGTTGAAGATGACATGGAAAATATGCAAGTACATATTCACATCACAAAAATAACCTCCACTTTCCCGAAATATTTCACCAGGTACCGTACCGCTCTAAATATGCATTAATTAACTACTAAAAATTATAAATTATTTTTTAACCATATTAGTATTATATAATACAAATCACTCTTTGCTAATGTAACAGTGCCATCAAACACTGCCTACTTTAAGTTTTTGAGCTTTACAGATTTTGATGATTGATTTATTATATAAATTAATAATAATATATTTAACAGATTTCCTTCAGTCTGTATTTACGTAAGTTCATCAGACATACTGGGTTTTAATAATGGCATAAATTCACAAGAACCGCTCTCGACTGCAGAATTAAATAAATTGCAGACAAGTAATTTCCAGTATCTGGTAAATCTATCTTTATTAATTTGACCGCAATGAAAGTATCGGAGGGAAAGGATAAAACTCGCAACTGACACTCAAAATGACCAACTTTCGTGGGAGGTTCACCGACAATAACTGTCACCGTCAATTAATGCTTCCAGAAATGAGTACAGGTCTGTCATTCTCATATATACAATATCAATTTTACAACAACTAGCACGGTATTTACAAATTTTACTCATTTGCCTAATGTATGTATGCAGGTATCTATTATTATTTTAGTTCACCGTACCTCAAATGTAATTTCACAACATTTAAACACATTAAATCAGCGTAACTACAGTATGTTTTCTACTCAAATAATTCAATTTATTCGGGACATGGACTGGCCTTACCTTCTTTTTAAGCAAACCCCCTTTTAAGCGAACTCCTTAAAGCAAACCGTCTCTGATAAACTACACCACCCTCTTTCTTTGCACAAAACCATCAAAATGATGATGAAATTCCCTAGCCTTTTAATTGATTTAGAATATTTTTTGTAATAATATAATATAGATAATCTAATAAACAAGTTGATGTTTGGATCCATAAACATTATCAAATCAACAAAAATGAAAAGCCTATAATAATGGTATTCTTGTAACTAAAGTATTTTGTTATTTATTACAGCAATGCATTGTATGCTTTCACACTAATATTATTATTAGCATTGTATCCTGGTGTACACCACTTAAAATAAGATATTTTATCCATGACTGGATACAAATTTTGTACAGTAGGCGGTATTGTTTACATGCAGATCACACTGTGAGAAGCAAGTGCAGAAAACACTCTTCTTTTTTTGGAATAAAATGCAATTTTTGAGCAAAGTGTCTGTCAGGGAAAACCTCAAAATGCAATTAAGATGTTGGATAGCATATTTAAAATCCTGATCAAATGTTATTAATCTCCAACCAGAGATGGATACAAAATAGGCAATTCAAATACAAAATTAAATTTTAAAATTTTAAAGACCACTAATTGTATATTTGAGGGATTTTAATTATTTTGTTGTTGTTGAAATAATGGATAAGGCTGGTCACATTTATCACAGATAATCTCTCGCATGCAAATCAAATACAAAATTAAATTTTAAAATTTTAATGACCACTAATTGTATATTTGAGGGATTTTAATTATTTTGTTGTTGAAATAATGGATAAGGCTGGTCACATTTATCACAGATAATCTCTCGCATGCAAATCAAATACAAAATTAAATTTTAAAATTTTAATGACCAGTAATTGTATATTAGAGGGATTTTAATTGTATTTTTGTTGTTGAAATAATGGATAAGGCTGGTCACATTTATCATAAATAATCTCTCGTATGCAAATCAAATACATTACGGCTATTGATTGTGTAGACATCACAATCATAGCCTAATCCCAGACTGCAGCAGGTGGGGACTTGATTAAATATATCTCCCCTGTTTACTGGGCTATTTCGCTCATAGATTTACTGACAGATTTGATGGCCTGTCAGTTACCATGACAACATAATAGTAGGGAGATGTTTACGGACTCACAAAACTAAGTGAGAAGGAAAAAAATATTTTAGCCACTCCTTGGGGCATACAGTGATATATTTTATTATTGTAATTTAAGGTAGGGATGTGGTAAATACACCACCTGAATTTAACAGATCATATTCAACTCATGAAATTACAGTTAGTTCTATGACTATTTTTACATTGTTTAAATAAATGGATGTAAATATTAGGGTTATTCGGCAGCTTTTCTACATATCAAAATTCAATTGGTAGGTGAATTAGTAGGTACTGTGGGTTAGCATCTTTGTATGTCATGGATCAGAGCCAAAAAAGATTTATGTTAAAACTGAAAGTTGAGTCATATAATTTTGTTTACTTTGTGCCATTACTAGTAGGTTTAATTTTTCAACATTCATTCAAATATCAAATCAAAAATTTTCTTGCCAGGACCTCTCTGATCATAAAAACCAAATATCAAGCTGTACTGTAGAGTGTGGAGAGGCTGAAACACTGGCAGCCACAACTTAGTATCTGGCTGACTGACAGGAAAGTATTGACAGTATAATAAGGCTGACTGACTACAGTGATGAGTGTGGAAAGGCTGGTGGGATACCACCTTAAATATCAGACTGACTGTGGAGAGGATGGTGAAGTGCCATCCTACAGTAGGTATCAGAATGACTGTGGAATGTGGAGAGGCTGATGCCTTTAGTATCAGAATGACTGTGGAATGTGGAGAGGCTGATGCCTTTAATATCAGACTGACTACAGTATGTGTGGAGATGCTGTTGGGGTGCCACATTAAGTATCAGAATGACTGTGGAGTGCAGAGAGACTGATGCCTTCAGTATCAGACTGACTATGTGTGGAGAGGCTGGTGTGTGCCATCTTAAGTATCAGAATGTTTGTGCATTGTGGAGAGACTAATGCCTTGAGTATCAGACTGACTCAAATGGCATATGGAGAGGCTGGTGATACACCACCATAAGTATCTGAATGACTTTGGAGAGCGGAGCAGTTGATGCCTTCAGTATCACACTAAGAGGAGGCTGATGGGGCCCCCAGTATAATGAAATTTGTTTTGTTTATGAGGATACAGGACATCTCCAATTATTAACAACACGGACTAAGCTCCTATTAAAAAACACAAAAATAAATATAATATGACACCAAATAAATGAAGCTCAATACAAGAATTTTGTAGTATTCAAATTACATGAATAACAAAAGATATCAACAGCTGTTGGATAAGGGCAAACAACCACAATAGATTTTAAATTAAAAAGTTTAAAAATGTTTTATGACAAAAGCAATTATGCATTAATATGTTAATTGAGAATAATACCATCTGAAAGTTCTCTGTTAAGATGACGGTCTTTCAATTCCAAGCTCAAGACTGATAATTATTACAATTTTAACAGGCTTGGTAAATAAACCTGGTTTCATTGAATATTATTAGTAGAGTTAGAGCCCAATCACACTTATTAGGCCGGCCTAGGGTCGGCCCAGGGCCGCCTTAAATACGGCCGACTCACAACAAATTTTCTGTTCACAGTTATTATTTAAGTCAGCCCATGGCCGCCTAACGAACGTTCACACTTCTCCTTTGGCCAGGGTCGATGAATTGCAGGACAGGAAGTTCGAGGCGATCGCATTACTTGATGGTGGAACGGTAAATCCCAACCTATCATAAACACATGGAATTCGCGCAAACATGAACCTTTCAATTATTGTCCTTCTACTTTTTCGTGTTTTTTTTTAAGCGTAGCATTTTGCTTCATGATTATGGCGATGATAATTATTATAACAACCAAGGCCCATAATTAGCGCAGTACGACTTTACTCTGTGCAAACCAGACTCGCGATTTAAAAAGCCCATACCTGTACTGTAGGCCTATGTAAAGACTGAAGGTTGCTGTCACTGCTTGGCGTCTATAGACACAGATTATGAATATAGTGGCGTCGAGCATTTATTTGGCAATAATAATTATTTTCATATTAGGTTCATTCACAAACAATTTTCGACACTGGCTTTTTACAACCCGCTTCGCTCGTAACAATAACAAACGATTATTTTTTTCGGTCCTCGGGGTCACGTGAGTAGCTTCACGAACGTCGACACAAAACGCATGTGACGTTCACAGAAAGAATGATACTGCTATTACAGTGTTATGACTTTAGAATATAAACTTGTGAAATTAATGTGTGCTATACAAAAAACGTGTTTTCTGGAGCTTGTAATAATTATTTTTACTGGAATTCAACTGTAGAATAGAAAGTCACAGCATACGTCATCTGTCAAACTGCCCATGCGAAGCTTTGTATCACGTGGAAGCTTTGTATCACGTGGTATTTGCCGTTCTATTATTATGTTTACAACGTGGTGCTTAATGTTGCATGTTTATGTTTCGCACGGAGAGGCTGTTAGTAGTAATGATACAGTAGGTATGGAAACAATTTATTTCACAATGGGCTTTTTTCGTGCAAGTCAGTTATTGTTGAATGTTGTGGTAGATAAGATGTCAAAATCGACCGCAATCAGAGCGAACTTGGGCCGGTCAGATATGAAGTTATGTTGGCCCAGGTTCAGCATTGCGGGACCTGAGCCAACTCAAAGTCGGACTAAATTTAGGTCGGCTCAGGGTTGGCTTAGCGTTGATTGTTCATACTTAAAAAATGCAGACCCTGAGCTGTCCCTGAGGCGGCCCTGGGGCGACGTAACTCGTAAGTGTGATTAGGCTCTTAGATTTGTTGTAAATGCTGTACTGTAATATACCCTTTAATATAATATTATTATATTGACTGTTTCAGTTGTACAGCTACTCACTAATGTATTTTTAAAATAAAAATACCACTGCCTGAAATATAGATAAAGAGTGTCCTCTACTGTATGTTCATCAACCGGCACATTATAAATGATTAATTAAATGATTGATTAATTAATTCCAAATTTCTAATGTTAGGGAATGAAGTATTTTCCATAAAACGTATTGCGTTTGAAAGTTTAAGGGAGTAGGCTAATACACGAAAGTGGGCTTGTGTCCATGTCTGAATGGTAGCAATTATACTTGACATACAATTATAAATACACTGTAATCACTTTTTCTGTAGATTACAGTAGCTATTTCACAAGTTTTACAAAACTCATTGGCACTGATGCAACAAAAGTGATAATTTTTTTTCTAACTTTTTTGTTTCAACTGAATTACCACAACACAACAACATAGATGGACTGGTACCGATGGACTTTAATCATGTTGAAGACAAAGTATGCCTACTAAGAAGGCATATTTAGCCAACATTAAACGTGCATCTTTATGGACATTTGCTTTATTCAGGCCAATTAATGTTCAGTGCAGAATCTTTTAATGATGAAGTTCCTTTGATAAGGCGTTATCTTGCCTAAATGCGGTTACACTTTCAGATACGTCACCTAGTTAAGGGCAGAGTCCAGCCAGATTAACACTCCATAATAACACAGGTCATTGGCCTTCGTAATTATCAATTGTCAGCTAATGATCAATTGTGAACATACCACCATAATACTTTATGGTTCTACGATGAAGCTCTAAGATTGCACAATAGAAAAAAAAGAGGGTTTAAATCGTGTAATAAAAGAATTTAGAGTCAATAAAACCTATTGAAATACTGTACATCACATGGGTGTCATAATATATACAATAAACCTGTCTTCTACTGGTAGTAGACCTACAGTTGAGTAATTTAACTTGGATACAAAATGAAAATTTGTGTGCCATAGACCTATAAAACTAAAGAAAAAATCCTTATACACTGTAACAAGCATATTGTCTTTTAAGTGACAGCTTTGCAGAGAAAAAAAAAGGGAGGAACTCAGTTGCTTGCAGACTTCTAGTAGAATCGCTACATTCTCCGCTCCAGTCAACATACAGTCAACTCGGTTTGTTAGAGCTCCATGTTTCTAAACATTATAATTAAAAGTTCTCAAAAGTACAGTTATGTTGACAGCAATGCAAGGTTTAAGTCATGTGGCCCACATGGGTTTAATATCCAATCCACAGCTGGTTGTTAGGGAAATGCCTAGGCTGCTGGTTATCCCCTGTTGGGAAGTGCTGAACCAGAGGGCCTTCAAAGACATCTGCTGTATTGGGCTTTAATTATTCTGCCAGTCAACAAATTCCAAGCTAGGCCAGGTAGAATTTCAGTTTAATGTAGATTCATTTGCAGGCTGTCTGTGGGCAAGTACAGTGCACCTACAGCATACCGTACGGTACTTGTCAGGTGTTCAAGAAAAGGAGTTTTTCGCAATTTTACCGTTATCCCCGATGTTCTTATAAGATATGATTTGTTGTCATGTTATGTTATTTAAAGTAAGAACATACTGAATAAACCAAATCAAATTTTAAAAGAAAGAGGAATTAAAAGATCATCTCAATTAATAATTTTCAAGTAAAATTACCTGTATCTTGACATTTCGATGGTGTCATTGCATACAGACAACTGCCTAGACGATGGGGGGGGGGGAATGCATTGAATGAACACAAGGACAGAGGGGCCTACAGTGGTTCTTACTCCTTATACATACTTTGAACATTGACACTGGCCCCGGTGTATAGTAGTAGAGGTGGCATCCCATTAATCTACTACTAGAGTCTACATGACAACAGGATAAAGATTTTTACCAGCCTGAGAGTGCTTTTAATTCCAGGCATCTTGAGGTGTCTAAAAGTATTCTTAAAATTTGCTAACCTCAACCTCACCATGTTTAGGTGTGGTCCTGTTTTCAAGGACCTTTGAACCTTCATCAAGGAATCCCTAGCACTGTCATTGGTATCGCATAAGAGGTTGAAGCTATAAAATCCAGCTAATCGTATTTGTCAAAAGGGCTTACATAGTTACGAATGTTGCTATAGAAGCAGCTGTTTCCTGGACAACGATGGGAAATGCAGATCTGCTATGCTTGGTTACATCTACTTAGTAACCATAGCGATAGAGAAGTTAAAATATCTGTTAATGTTGATAGCTGTAGTGCCTGTAATGTACTAGATTTTATAGCAATTTTTATGAATTGTTATCTGTTTGGATTCAAACTTACAGGTAAGCAGTACGATAGTGTTGGTTCCTCTGCATAGTAATCTGTTTCGGTTATTTATTTTGGCTTGGTTAGCTTAGTTGACCTACTAGAATAGATTTTGCTTTTTTGTTTTCTGTACAACGCATAGAGACCACGTACTATGCGCTATTTAACTATATGTCCTAAACACTTAACAACTAATTATTTCTAATAATTAAAACAATTAAAAAATTCATATTAAATATAGAAATAAAAGCATATCAATTTTTCATGAATTCAACTCAAGTGAATTAAACTAATTTTTTTAATTGATTTAATTCTACAAAAAGCTGGCATACTAACAACTGAAAATTTGTGGATCCTTTTACAGGTTTCAATTAGTACAGTATGCTCAGAGACTGAAGTAGGACTATCTTCTCTAAAAATAATTGAAATTAATGAGCCATGAGATAAATATAGATCATGGTAATCTATATAGATTTACTTTGACACTATTTACGGTAATCATCTAAACTCCCTGTCGAGACTATCACATTTTATTTCACAAAAACATGTGACATGCCTAAATATGGTCATGATAACATCACACTATGACCATATGTGACATAAGCACATGCAATATATGGCCATATGAGCAGTTTTTATAAATTTGATAATCTGGACAGGGTTTTTTTCAGTACGAGAAATCAGAACCACGGGCTTAATGCCAGTAAAGTGCCAACATTTTCCCATGTCCAAAACAAGTTGCCACCAAAAAGGAACTTGGTTGAGGTCTGTGAGTACTATATTAATGAGTCTTGCCACATGAGAGGAACTTGCTTGATTTTCGTGGTCCAAGTAATTAGTCTTGCTAGATGAGATAACCCAGATTATGATATTGCATTAAAGTTATAACATTTTTTTATTACCTTTGTAGCCTTTGTGATGATATCTCGTGCAGCATCCAAGCCTTGAACGTAGGTCCTGGCCGCATTTAACGAGCGTCTCATTTGTGTCGTAAGCGTATCCGGGATAGTCCCGAAAGGTTTAAGGATATGCATGTGATCTGCAATACATGTCATGAACTCGTCTGAATATCTTCCTGGGTTAAGTAGCAGATACATTTTTTGTAAAAGTGTCCCAAAGAAATCATCTAACGAGCTCTCCAAATCGTCATTCTTTCCTTGATAGAAACTACGAAGGTCCGCGTATAACGAGGAGAAGATAGCCTCATGGTCTTTGTATAGGTCCCCGTATGTATGTTCAAACATTGTACTGAAGTCTTTCTCTGAATTATCAAGCAGTTCTACAAAATAATCTGAAAAATACAGAATTGAAAATAACATTAAATATACAGTTTATTTATGGTCCCATGTATTTATTATATAAAACTGAATGGGAAAAAAATTGAAATAAAATACAAGAATGTAGGAAATGTCATTTTTATTGAATTATTGCCAATTAATAAATATAAATACTGTTCATATTTGTTTGTATTAGTAAATTGGCTCATAATCTACTTTTAGAATTTTGCGAAGTAAAAAGTTTGAAAATTTAGATAACTGAATTTCATCCTTTCTTTCTTTAAAAATTAACTGCTTTAACTTGATTTTTTTTTTTAAAGAACATAATTTTCACAGATGGTAGACCTTTTACCTCACTTCACCTATCCTCTTCATGCCATGAGGCACATAAGGCCATTACAGTAGCAATTTACTTGTGTTAATGTTAGAACTTCACAAGGAAAAAAATCTAAATATTATTTTGGCATAAAACCACCTAGCTCTTGGTAATTTTTTACATTAACCATGGGTATTTTTATGACCTTTTAAGTCAAATGGTTATGATGTTTGTGACCATTGCTGCTCTATCAATTAACTTGTAAATCAATTTGTAAACCACTTCCTCTTTGGAACACGTGTTCTGTTGTGTCTGTTTTAGACAAATCTGCACTAAACATCATTGTTGAATCTTAAAGACGCTTCCTTATTTCATTCCTACTCAGTTTTATCACCTTTAGACCTTCATGTACTACCAATAGTGGTGATTAAGTGGGTACTAGAGGGCCTTAGACTGGTCTATGACTTCCGGATCTACCTAGTCTCATTAGACTGTTTTGGTAGGTTTGTAGACATTGTCGTTCAAGCCACTAACATGTTTAAATTTTCTATTGGTAAATAATTATGCCAAAGTATATCTGACATACACGACACATGAGATTGAGGGGTTTTTTTGTAAATGCATGGCACAAGAAACGGTAGAAACTTGTGTTTTTGAAATACATCATAAAATTAAATTATTATTGTTTATTATTAATTATAATTCATAACATCAGAACAATTTGTGAGATATGCAAATAAGAGTAAAACATTACAGCACTGCTTAGTTTTGTTTTATGTTATGCTATTTACCCGTATCATATCGTAAGAACATTAAAAAACAATCATTGGACAAGATACAAACAATGTAGAAAAGATGGACTGAAAAATCAACTTCTACTAATAATGTTTTATATCTAATAAATTTGAAAGGATCGATAATAATTTGTATTATGAAAACATAACATTTATAAACTAAAAACATTATAAACATAAAAATAAAAAAATCATCTCATAATAATTAGTAAAAATTAAATAATGTCTAACGATAAGAGAAATTTGTACCCAATTTTTGAATTATCAATGTTTTTTGTGAGCATGGACTAATAACGTCATCATCAATAGTTATGCGGATTATCATTATAATTAGTATTATTTACTTATTTTAGCTGGAATGGAATTATATCATTTATTTAGAAGTAATAACTATAATTGTTATGCAGATGGTCATTATAAAATTAGTATTATTTATTACTGGAATGGAAATGTATCATTTACTGAGAAATAATAACTACTATATGCACACAGCATGGAGAAAGTGAACCTCCTTGCATAGCAAGCAGTGATTTCTGTACATCATTACATCTAAATTATTTATGTCTAGCTGATGCAATTAGAAACATTATAAACTGTGAAGTACTGTATGACTTAAAATACATCCGACTATAAAATTCTACAGGCATGATTATATGTATTTCACTCTGGATCATCAATAAAAAATGTATGTGTACACAGTATAGGAATTTTAACATTTAACAGGGGAAGAATTACTTATGCTGTGCATTCCAGTTTACTATACAAATACACAAAACATGGCTAGAAAAACAACAAACCAGGCACATCCCACAATACACCACACGTAGACGATATTTTAACAGCCAATATAAATAAACCATTTAGTGCTGGTGGAAGTATATTTTATAAGGCCAAATTATAATCCCACTAGTTTCTAAAGAGGAGGATGATCTTCTTTAAACATATTGTATTCACTCTGGTATATTTTGGTATTCTTTGTTTTTCGCCACTTCCAATTGTCTATTTTTCTGGCTTTGCACAATCCTTTCTGTGTTGTTTTAGAATTCTCAATTCAATTGTGTTTCTAGCGGATGAGTTGCCTAACCAACTGTACAATATGTTGTTCTTCTAATTTGCATACAAATGCAACATCTTTTGTGGAACCAACACTTCAAATCTGGTACATCAATTCTATAAAATAACTTATTACTGTATAATTATTTTAGAAATAGCATTTTATTTAAAGATAATAAATATTTGAGAATAACTTCTGTTCGGATATACTCTACCAACTGAGCTTTGAGGCCAAGTAATATACACCCTTGGATTTTTCCATTAGGATACTTTCTTTCTCAAGGTTTTGTGTAATACAAAATAGCAATTTTAAATAGCTTTTTTTTTTTAATTTATAAAAAAAAAAAATGTATTAAAAAGAAAACAAAAAACAAAATTTTAACTTGCTAGTATTCTGTGACTAACTTAAGATAAAATAAATTATTTCACTACTGTAGCTTGGCTTTCACCAGCAATTTATGAGAGCTTGATGAGTTGAGTCGGCCAAGTGCTTTGAGTCACTTTCCCCAGCATAAGATGCTATATTTATTATCAGGCATCCATTACTTATTATTAATTGAGCACATGCTTAGGGTCATAAGTTGAAGTTTGTCTCTTATTAAGCACATGATAGTATAATTCTCTAATTGTCCTTGAGTCAGGAGATACTGTAATAATCAATGTTGGGTGAATATTCTCCGAAATGCATCTAGCATGTCAAAACTACTGTTTGCTTTGCTGGAATCTTGAATATGTTCTTAAAGGGATTTTAAGAAGACTATGATGAAGAATAAGGTGTCCAGACTATGGTTTTTAAATATTTATTGCCATTTAATTTGCCGTTGAAATTCCTGACCTTTCCCACTGGCCCCATTAGCAACCATGTTGTTTAGATGTACCTTCCTTTATATTACTTGTACCATAAACAAGTCCACCTTTTTATCACTTCAAAATGGTCAGATGGGAGAAGCTGAAGTAAACTGACAAGACTCATAGGAAACACATCAAACATAAGATAAGCTGTGATATTTACATCTGCAGTCAACGATGCTATTGTGTCCAAGATAAATCATCTAATGAACAAGCAATTTCCTTGATTTTGAGATATAAATGTTCACATTCACTTCCCATCGACTGACCTATTTGTAGTATAGTAAATACAATACTTGCGCCATGGGAATACAAGCCCAACTTTGGCATGCATTAAGAGAACTGATTGGGTAAATTTGGAATAATTAAAAAAAAAATTGTTATTTTTAGTAAAAATATGGTGAATAACTGTTCAAATTTTAACTCTATAATTGGCATACATTCAATAATATACCAGTTGCATTGTTGAGATGTTATCATCATCATTATCATTGTTATCATCATTGTCATCATCATATTAGTTTCTGGCAGGCCACTGCCTGACGCATTCCTCCTCTACTTATACTGTAAAGAATTCTGTCTCTTGCTATTTTGCAACCACCATTTGTATGTTTTACCATACTAATCTTTGGTATGTCTCTCTTTTTTGGGTTGATTTATTTTCTTACTGCAAATATACTGTACTGTATCTTGCAATTTACTTCATATAATAAAAAGAATCTATATCACCCTCCTTCCCCTAGCCTAGACAATGAGGTTAAAAATGTTGATTTAAAATTGCTTTCAGTTAAACTTTATAATATTTATAATTTATTTACAGTATAATTTATTTAAAATACAATATTTATGCAATGAGAATACAAGCTCAATCTATAGTACAGCCTAAACTACCTATTTCTTTTGGATGCACATTCACAATTTTGAAGTGTGCCACTGTTAAAAAGAGTAGTTTCCGAATAAATAACTTTATTTATATCAATAAAAAACAGCAGCTAAAAGAAAAAAGAAATATACTCTGTAAGTACACAAAAGGAAAACCATGACAACCATGATGTAGCAAATACATTCCAAAAGGAGTGTAACTAAATCAATGTCAACGCTGGACTTTCTGAAAAGTATTTAAACATGTTTTTTTGTTTTATCTCTACCGAGCAGATCAATCCCCCGCATTAAATAAATGAAAACCAAATTTACAACGATGCAAATTCCCCGGAGAGATGGTTATCCAACAACAAGCAATCAAAGAGGATACAGATTTAGTGTAAAATTGCTGTGTATGTTGCAAAGTAGATAGATGAGTATGCAAAACACAAGGGACTATGTATGATACTGTTGTTGTTTGGTTCCATATGCTACAAACCATTAAATATACACAATCAAATTGCAAGGTTCAGAGAGAACTTTTTGTACTGTGACAATCCTAGGAAACACAATGCTTCATAAACCTACTTTTTTATAATGGTGTTGACGAAGTATCTCTACACAAATTTGTTTTTAATCGGACGTTTTTACCCTCTTAAATACCTAGATTGTGGATTTTACTCCAACACAACTTCCATAGATACTTGTTTATTATACATATCAGTCATTAAAACAATCAAGCACTATGTTGAATTTAAAGCTAAAAATGATGATTAAAAGAGAAGTAAAATTTGTCGCAAGCACATGTGTGAAGCCATAATAAACACTGAATTTGAAAAGGCCCGTTAGAGGGCCTCCTCCTCTTGAGAGTTACATAGTACTGTATAGTATGGTATGTTGTGTTGTATGCATGCTAATAACAGTTACAATTCGAGCGGATTTTTTTTTTTTAAACTTCACTTTTGATGACGTCATCACCTTGATTTTACGTTTGTAAAATCGGTAATTCGTTAAATCGTGGTTCGTAAGTAAGGGTTTCTACTGTACTATTATTTTGTAAATCTATATTATATTTAACAAATTTAAATTAAAACATCAGTATAACAATTTTTTTAAATCAATATATTGTTATTTATTGGCC